GTGGTCTTGGCACTAGTGATGATTTGTACTAAAACTACCTTTTGGTTTCTTGTTAACTCAAGTTTGCAAAGCAATTAGCAGGGTGTGCAGTCTCAAGTCATGCTTTTTCTGTGTGCAATTGCCTCAGCAGTGAAATAAACTCAGGACGCCTTTGACATGGTTGCTAACACTAATCAGTGGTTCCTTAACTTGAGCCATCCCCGCTTCACAGCCCACAATTTTCGCCATACTGGTATAGCACCTGTACTCTATTATTTCCCTCATTCTTTTAAATTATCTTTTTAAATTTGAGTAGGACTTATTTGTAAAGCAAATTTCTTTAAATCACTAACATGAATAAAGCTCTCACCCCCAGATATAGAAGATAAATGTATACAATAAATATGGTATAGTGTTACTAAGTTTTACAGAAGCAATCCAAAATGAATAAAATTTTTTTAAAAAAGGATAACTTTCTCATCATAATTCAATATTAAAAACTGCTATTTTGCAGTACCACTTAAAATCATCTCTAGAAGTATCAGTGGTGTATGCTTACACTTTGTGAAAATCTCAACTAAATGAATAATGATATAGTACTGTGATAGAAGTTAAATTACAGCATAGACTATAAATTTCAAATGACTAACCCTTCGGGCAGGATTCGTGATGTTAAGAAAGTCTGCCCTAGGTTCTTGGATAGCAAGATAGTACTTCAGGGTAATACAACTTCTCACATATCCAAAGATCATTTTCCTCGAACAGCTAAGAATCAGTGAGCAGAGAAAACAGACAAAGTCCAGGCATTAACGCGTATGCTTTTCACCACAGAAAACTGCTTCACACCTTAGTTCGGAGCCCATATGCTTTTTTTAGACAACATTCTAATGGTATATTCTGATGCCAATTTCATATACTCCAATCATCCTTTAATCCATGTTCAGTGGAAACGCCTAGTTTCTTTTATCCCATATATATTTTAGCTATTTGCCTGACTGAAAAAAACAACCCATCAAGTTAGGACATGAGAAATCTGTCACCTTCCTCCCCTCTCACTGGGTTTGCATGAAGCAGGGCCTTGTCCCATTCCTTCACAGAACCAGGCCGCACTCCGTGGGGAGGGGCCTGGCCAAGGTCAGCTGGGTGCTGATGGCAGAGCCCGGCTCCCACCCAGAGTCCTCTCTGTGCAGCACACCTAGCCATTCTGGGGACAAAACCATACACACTGTGCTCACCCCAAGCCTCTCCACGTTTACCTCAGGAAGCCCCCACAGCCTACATATAACCCGTCAGCTCTGCCCTCTGCCTCCCTAAGCTCACTCTTCTCTCTTCTAACACAACATATGATTCCCTTGACGTTGTGCCTGAAACATCAGAAAACAAAGCTGCAAAAGTCAGGGTTGGAAGTCTTGGCAATTCTTCTTGGCCTAGGAAATGAGCCTGTAAAAACTTCTCTCCTCCTCATTTACAGATTTTTTTTGGGAGAGAAACACAAAACTTGTCTTTTCTCCCTCACTTGAGCAAGGGGACATCAGGAAAGGTCTAATTTTGCTCCTGGAATCAAAGTCAACTTGAGCGTAAGTCAGCTCTAGCATCTTTCCCTTTAACAGGAATACCCTGAAGGTCTCCCACCCTCCACATGGGAGGTGCGGGGGTGCCAGAGGCTGAGCAAATTTGTGCTCATAACCACACGAAGCTGCTGAAGGAATATTAGTAGCGGGCTTGTGGGTGGTGACATCTAAGATCTTGCTACTTGGCATGTTTGGTGGGCCAGCAGGATTGGCATCCTCTGAGAGCTTCTCAGCAATGCAGAACATCAGCCCCACTCCAGACCTACCACACCAGAATCTGCCTGTTCACAAAATCCTAAGGTAATTGATTGCATGTTCAAGTTAGACAAGCACAGATCCAATGGACTTGAATGGTCTGATACCAACACACTGCCTTTCCCCTCCATGGTCAAGCAATGCTCTCTGGAAAATCAGGAACTGAGGAAGCCAGTAAAGGGCCTGCCACGACAGTGGTCAGCCCTAGCTATGGCCCTGCTACAATCCAGGGACTGGGCGAGGACTCAAAGGAACAGCCTCTGCTCCTGGAGGGGGCAGTCTCAGCTGGGGCAACAGGAGACTAGAGGCTCGTACAGGCCTCCAGACACGAGCCCCAAACCCCTACCAATGCCTGCAGCCATACAAAGTAAGGGTTCTCACACTGCCCCTCACACTGCAGACTATGTGACTTTTATTTACCTACCCAGTTGCCTAGGAAATTCACATTAATGTGATTCTATCTGCAAAAAGATGAGAGAGGAAGCACAGTGAGATATGCCTGACCTGGAAATAGCCCAAGACCCATGTTCCTACTGGTTACAATCAACGGTGACCTTGTTCTGTTCTGTCATCTGTGTGGTTTTTTCACAGCCTCAGAGAAAGCCCTGAACCTGCCATCCTCCTCCGTGCTGTCCACCGCCCCCTCCACCACCACCACCACGACACACACACACACACACACACACACACACACACACACACCCCTTCACACTACTGAGCCAGAGCCAGGCTCTGCCAATAGGGGAAGGGGGCGGTTAACTTCCCCTCAGCATTTTTAAAAGAGGCTGATAGGAAGGCGAAAGATCTGCAGGATCCTTCAGAGAACTCCAACATCTGCAGAAGGAAAAGCTGAAAATGGGGGAAGGAACAAGAGAGGAGGGCGGTACCCCGAGGACAGGAAACCTGGTGTCCTGATCCGAGGTGGTGAAAGCTTAGCTTCTTTTGTCGGCACGCTGGGAGGCATAAATGCGCACCTGGGAGGGGGCACACAGCCCCTCTTCCTAGCTATGAATGTCTGAAAAGAAACAGTTGACGTGGGAACTGCTCAAAGTGGCAGCTGACCAGGCCAACTTCCTGCAGAGCATCCCGTCCCATCAGAGTTAATAACGGGACAGGAACTTTCAGGCTGTGTCTTCTGTCCCTAATAATGAAAGCCAATACTTCTCCTCTTTCTCAAGTATTTCTGGACCCCTGCCTATTTTCCTTTCTAATGCCAATTTCAAAATTGCTATTTTATTTCTTCAGATTGTATGATTTCAGTGACCATTGTACCAAGTCACTGCTTCCTTGCAGAGTCAACAGCCAGCCAGTTTTTAGAACTGAGATAATTGCTAAGACAAGAGACAGCAGTTTCAATTACTTATACCTTAGATAAGTGTGATACAGGGTAGCCTTAGAGGCAATTCCGGCCTCAGGCACCTGCCCCACCCCACACTCCATGGTAAGGGATGCTGTCCATCAACAATGCCTGTGCTGAGGGGCTGGCCCAGGCTTTGCACTATTTGCCACCCCTGAACTGGCGCAGCTGATCTTTAGGGTGTCCAGTGACCTGCAGCTTATGGCTTACGGTTGGCTTAAAAAGATGAGCTGGGCCAACCATTCTGCACTTAGAAATCTGTCATTGGCAAAATGATGCCACAGCAGAGACAGAAGCCAAAAAGAGCATGGAGAGAGACCACAACAAATTGGGTCTGGAGAGGTGGTTCCAAGAGAGGAGGTCAGTGGGGAGGGAAGAACAGAGCCCCCACAAACAGAAGCAGACACTAAACAGACACTAAGACTCTAAAACAGAGGCCGTGAAACCCCTCAGATGGTGTCAGATTCAAGCTCCGTGCCAATGCTTTTGGAATGTCAGTTGGAATGTCCCATCCTTACAATGAAATCCTCTTTACCTAAGCAGGTCTGGGTCCCCTGCAACCAAAGAAGCCACTGTAAAATAAGCCCCTCGAGATACTTTTTTTCACTTTTTCCAGTACATTCAAGGTAAGAAATAATTCTCATGAAAAATAAAAGTAGATTCTATGTCAAGAACATGGCTTGGCCTAAAGACAGTTTCCAATTTATGGGATCTGATGACAGCAATATAAAAGCTGTTAAAAGTGGGGAGTAGACTCACTTTTTCTTCATCGTGTTTTTAATCATGTACTGATTATCACTGCTGCCTTATAATAATAACCCACAGATAAATACTGTATCTGGGCCTTGGAGTTTCTGTGGAGGTGAGGAGACTAAAAGATCCGAACCTGAGATTTCCTGAGAAGATACTTACAGACTTTTGTGGGAAGGCAAAAACAAAACACAAAACAAAACAAGTATGTAATATGAGAGAGGGAAAAAGATTACCATGTTTATAAATAATTCAGAGGATACTGGGGCCTATCTTGAGGAAATTATACCAGAGTCCTTGCAAGAGCTGAATTCCATCACTAGAGACAGGACCACCGAGAGCTGCCACTTTAACTTAAAGTAACTAATCAAATACACTATAACCAGCAGGGCACCAGCCCACCAGGAGTGCTCCAGGGCTATAAAACACAAGATCAAACCAGAGAACCCACCTAAACGTGCGAGGTTAAACAGGATATAAATACCCTATTAGAATGCTCAGTAAAAAGGAAGCAACATGATAGGGAAATCTGGAAATCAAAATAAACTCACAAGTATACCACACAAACTCAAGTGGGCAGACCTACCAGTGGCCTAATTAGAAACAAATTAAACTGACAGGAGATGCCCGAAAGGCAGGCAGGTCTGTTCACTGCAGGGAGACAGATTCTCACAGGAGCACAGCAAGCGACTGAGCCACAGCAGGAGAGGGCAACCCTTCCCCAGGGCAGTTCCCCCTGCCTTGGCCACCCCCAGGCACTGGACAGATGACCACGCCACCAGCCCTCAATGCCACGTGCAGTAACATGAGGGTGCTCCATTACATGATTTCCCAGAGAACACTCTAAGTCAGACTGAACCTACTTTGAGAAAGTTATCTTCTAAAAACTATGTTACGAAAATTTTTTGTTAAATAGTTGACTAAACTATTCAATAATGGCATTAACTTCATGCCAAAATTTATACATAGCTTTCCCACAACCATCAGGAAAAGCACCGCCAGCAACTTTAATCCACCTATATGTACAAAAAATTGCCACTCGCATCAGAAGAGACAAATGGACAATTCAAGTGGAATCTTTTTCTTACCATTTCGGGACACATCAAGTTCCACCAGCTGCATGAAGTTTGCTATTTCTGGAGGGAGCCGCTGAATTTCATTATCACTAAGTCCAAGCTTTCGTAATTTGACTAGCTGGAAGAATTGCTGCAAGACAAAACAATTTCACATGGGTCTCACATATATTTGCAACATAAACTTTTTGTCCAATATAAAATTTTTTAAAAATATGTCTTTTAAAAATTAATGAGAATTGCACCGTGTCAATTTCCTGATTTTGATACTGTACTATAGTCATGTGAAGATGTTACCACTGGGATAAACTGGGTACAAAGGATGTCTCTGTACTATTTTTGCAACTCTGTATCAATCTATAATTATCTCAAAATGAAAAGTTTAAAAGTGAATAAGTAACTCAATGAGTATAATAAGTACTCCTTTAAGCTATCCAGTAGGTGGTCACATTTTCTACTTATGGAAATTGATGCTAAATCTGCAATGTGAAATAAACATGTGAAAATTAGAATAAAATATTTTTAAAGACATTTTTAAAGGAATTACTGGGCATCAGAAAATATATAAATATCCCCCAAATGTGTGGAGGGGAAAAAAGTATTTTAACCAATCTAAAAAAGAGCCTGCACTGGGTATTTCCATTAACCATGGCAGACTGAGCACCTGCCTTTTTCCCCACCCTTTAATAATGTCCTAAAATGACACTAAGGAAATTTACATAGAGATGGATATAGGTATAAAAATGTGGAATAAATGCATGAAGACAATTAAAAATGAGAGGGGACAAGAAAGCGAACTAGATATGCAACAAAATCCTTGAAGCTAGAAAACTGATAAGCAAATAGTAACTAACACGAGAATCAAAACAAAGCCGAAATTTAAGCCTGAGGAGTGAGCAGACAGTAAGAAATTAGGACCAGGTACCTCTGAAGGAAGGAGAACTGGTCAAAAAAATACACGTAAAGAATAGATAGGTCTCCATATCCTCTTCTCTACCCTGCATAGTCAGGCAGGAGACTAGAAATTTCCCCTCAAGAAGAGTTGACTCTAAACATAGCTGAGGGCAGGGGTCTGGCACCCTGCTAAAAACAGGGGGACTGAGTCAAAGCCTGCTCAGTGAGATCCCACCCCTTCTCCCCGCAGCCAGGCTTCCAGGCATGAGAACAGACCTGCAGACTCAGATTACACTATAGAGTAGCCCCAGGTTACAAGCCCCACCCATGTACACAGAGCTTCCAATCATCTTTTTTTTTCTTCAAGTGCCTGGATCTCTCATTTAAACAGAGCCACAGTTCCTCAGACACTTGAGGAAAACTCCTAACGTGCAACAGAGTATGCACATGCACATACCTCAGAAGAAACAAATATGATGCCGGGGGCAGAAAAAACTTCATCAACCAAAAAATATAATACCGTCAAAGAAAGAAGATGAAGCAACATGATGCCACAAAATGCAAGCTTCAAAGAAGAAATAAGCTCTTGGAAACTAAAAAATATTGTAGCATCAACAAAAGAATCCAAGTTAACAAAATCCCTCAGAAAGGAGAATAAAAGACAATGAGATGGAGGAATTAGAGACAAAAGACAGGAAAATTAGAGGATCAGTCTACAAGGTGTTACATCCAACTAATAGGTATACCAAAGAAAGAAAACACAGGGACTGCAGAACATGCATTTCAGGTTTGAAAGGGCCCATCATGTGGCCAATAAAATGAATGACAAAACACATGTACCAAGGAATATTATAAAATTTCAGAACTCCAGAAATAAGATTCTAAAAGCTTCCAGAGACTGGGGGGCACAGGGAGGGGGGAGAAGGGGTGGTCATAACAAAAAAAAACTGGGAATCAGAATGGCACTGGACTCACAGCAACCTTGAAAGTAAGAAGGCAATGGAGCAATGCCTTCAAAATTCCAAGAAAACATTATTCCCAAACTAAAATTACATACCCAGCCAAACTATCAATCAAGGACGATGACAGAATAAAGATATTTTCAGATACTCAAGGTCTCAAAAAATTTATCTTCCCTACACCTTTCACAGGAATCAATCAAAACGTGGAAGTAAATCCAAAAGGAGGAGGATCTGAGACCCAGAAATCAGACAATCACAAAACAAAGAGAGAGACAAAGGAAACTGCAAAGGACCAAAGCACAAAGGACCAAACAGTGAAGGGAACGCCAAGATGCCAGCTGAGCAGCAGACCCAAAGAGCAACGAGTCTACACTGGAGAAAAGACGAAGGCTCCCAGAGGAAAGTTCTGAACAAAAGAAAGAAAAACACATCTGAGGGATGATCTGATGTATTTGGAAGTATCGAGAAGATTTGTTTGGTGATAAATCAGAAACAGGAACAGAGAAAATGAAGCAAGCAAAAAAGGAGGGAGTTACTAATTTCAGGAAAAACAAAGTATAAGAATCATAATATAAATATAAGATTTGGTTTGAACAATACTTACAGTCACAATATTTTAATATCTACATATGGATAAAACCAAAATTATGTTATATGGATACTGACAGGATGGGAAAGAAACTGTTAAGTGTTAAGTCCCCTCTTCCACAGAAGGAAATCAATAGATAACCAGAAACTGAAAAAAAAAAAAAAAATCAAACTGCAAAAGCAAGCCATTTAGAATGTGGAGGAAAATATCAGTGGAAATGGCCAAGAGCTAAGGGTTCTCAAAAGCCAGAAACTGGAGTGGGGAAGAGGGGCAGGTGAGAGGCTGCTGTTCTTCACTGTCACACTACACAGCTTATTAGACTTTTAAAAAACTATTTGCATATATTACTTTGCTAAAAATAGACACAGAATTTACACAGGAAAAAGTCTCTGCTAAGATTACAGCATGCTCCGAATGATAATTTTGAAGGATGCTAATATTTAATAAACATCATCTTTTTTTAAATTTTTTTTTGGTAAAAGGGACTTATATAATCAAAAAGAAGGCACCATCTTTTGGAAAGCAATTGGGCAATACATAAAACATAAGTTTTCAAGTTCACTGACATAATAATGATACTTTTGAGCATCTGTCCTTGTAATATTGAAAATAAGAAAAACGAGCTATAATGCACACTATGTCTTCGCATTATTATCAGTAAAAATGAAAAACTGGAAAATATACATGTCAAGGAAAACGATTAGTATGAAGTCAATATCAAGCAAGCAACAAAAACGATTACTATAAAGACCAGAACTAGAAAAAGATTTACAATGCAAATATAATTCAAAAAAGGGGACAAAATTGCAGGAACACTATGCATGTCTGCATGTTGACACAGAAAGGAAACACAGGAAAAGAAGTTTTGCTAGATGATAAGGAAAATGCATGAACAACTTTACTTTTTTTTTTTTAAGAAAAAAAGAAAGATATTTTAAAATAAAATAACTACGAATCTCAGCAAATGAATGCTACCAATTAGCTATATATAATGAAAGTGCTCAATGAAAGGACTAATCCTTTTGGATTTCTTTCATACAGCTGAGATTTAATTTCTTAAGGAAAGGTATTGAAATTTCTTGATGCTGATTGTACTACAGCATTAGCTTACACAAAAGCCATTCAAGAGAGTCACATATTTGAATAATTGAGCTTATGCCAATTGTTCAAAGAGTCTGACAGTTTCATAATGCATCAATGTGTTTACTCAAGCATGAAAAGTTCACTTTGTTTTCCAGGAAAAGCATAATAGCAACAGCACAAAAACCATCCCCAATTCCATACATTCAGGGACCATTCAGAAATAACACAAGAAATCAAGTCAATAAGGTACTTAGGTCTACAGTGAATAAGTTAGTCTTATGTCTGTGGAAACAACAGCCCACAAATTCTCACATCCAGTAGAAATCATAACAGCAAGCAATTTAGGTTTTGTCCTGCATGTTAAAAGCATCCTCAAATACAGCCTGTCACAAATACTACTTTATTCAACTTGGGAAGCACACACAGATGTAAAAACAACCCTATCTGACAGGATCTCAAAATGAAAACAGCCATTCCTCAATCCTGCCCTCATCCTGATGGGATCTTAATTTGGCATACAAATGCTTTAAATTAACTACTTTCTTATAAGATAGACACAATGCCACTAATACTTTATTAAATGCTCAAGTTTTCAACTTCCTTAAATAGTCAGGGGGAAAAACTTCACAAGCTATAAACCCTTCGGCCTTCTCTTTGAGATTAGCCAGGGCACATGCAGAACAATTCATGTAGCTGTCTTGGCAGGGCGCCTCAGCACGGAGCGATCATGCGCTGGTGCACAGAGACACCATTCTTCCACTACACCATGTCTGATTACAGCACACTGGCCCACTTAGAGCACATTTTGTACAATTATATGCAAAGAAACCCAAATTGCCTTGGCTTCTTATGCTACACCACAGTCTTCTTATAGCCACCAATGTTTTTAGTAGATACAGAGTCTTTAATTTGGCTGAACAAAATGTTTCTTTTTCCCATTCTCCATTTTTGAAAAGATTCTTTTTCCTTCTCTTTTGGTAGAGTATTGGTACCTCCCTTCTTCTTAGAAAGGGACACAGGAAATCTCAGTCCTAAAGGAGCTGTGTCCTTTTTTATTACCATATGGTCAAGGATCAGTCAAGTGTCCCCCATTGCCCAAACGTCTCCTCCGTGATGTAGAGAAAACATAAACCACTGTCACAGATTCACCTGGAGGACAACAGTGTAAAGAATGTTATTAAACTCCTGAAAATTGTTTGACTCCAAGCTATGATGACACCAAATTTACTCAGATTTCCCTTCTGGAGGCATTCTAACCTTTCAACTACATGTTGACCCCCTTCCATCCTATATAACTCTCATCACATTCCTACTCCTGTCCCCAGTGACTTGGACTGCCTTTTTGCTCAGCCTCCTTGGCAAAGATATGGTAAATCAATGGTTCTAATCTCAAGGTAAGATTAATACTTATTACAGTATACATTATTTGCATCATCTGGCAACGTTCTTTTCTATAAGACTTATAAAAAGTGACTATGACTTTATTACCCAGAAATTCTACTCCTAGGTATACACCTTAAAAAAAAAACTCTCTCACATACATTATTCCAGAATATATACAAAAATGTGCTTGACAGAATTATTCATAACAGCCTTAAACTAAAT